AACAGTGCCTCCTCATTAGGTTTGTTTGCCCCACAGCCAACAGGGCAGCCCAGGACAGTTCCTCTCCCTTGCTGCCACACAACCCCAGGCTCTCACTCTAGGTTAGAACCTAACTCTCCTCTCTGGACTGGCATTGGCAAGAGATGCCAAGGTCTTGTGGAAACTCCTGTGCAGGGGGCAATCCCCTCTTCTAAAAGGACTCAGATCTGCACTTAATCAGAGAGTCTATTTGTCAACCTCTGTGCCTTGGCATGACAGGCAGGAAGGGGGTGGTGGAAATGATCACTGCATTCGGGTTTTCCGTCTTGGTGACCTGTGTCCATGTCACCAGGAAGTATCAGATGTAAAATGCAGCCCTGCCTACATCACAGGCCTGCTATAAACCCTGGGACACCGGAGCCAGAGTCCTTTAAACATCGGATCAAGATAGTGGAGTCTGCTTGCACCTGAGGTCATAATGGTAATTGAGATTCAACCCTGGCACAGTAGGGAAAATTGTCAAGCAACACATGAGAAAGTAAGTGACCAAATCCGAAATGTGGAAAAAATAGTAAGTATATGAGATTAGACATGTTAATTAGATCAATTTAGGCATTCCATGGCATGCACATTTGAAAACATATACATGATAAATATATGCATACATATGATTTATATTTGTTAATTTAAAAAAATTAAATCCAAGATGTTAAAAGGCTGATATCTTCCACAAATAAATGATATGAGCAAAGGAGGAGGCAGCTTATGAGACACACCTACCTAGAACAAGGGCTGGATCATTGTTTGAATTCTGCTTTGAAGAAATCTATTAAAAGGTGGTTTAGAGACAATTGGGGAAATATGGGTATTAACATTAATAAATATCTAAATTTTATTTTATTTTTTTGTTTTGTTTTGTTTTATTTGGCTGGAGATTCTGGTAATCAACTCCAGGGGCACTCTAAGCACTGAGCTACATCTATAGCCTTCTTTATTTGATTTTACTTTATTTTATTTTGAGACAGGGTCTCACTAATTTGTCTCAGCTGGCCTCAAATTTGTGATATTCCTGCCCTAGCCTCCTCAGTCACTGGGATTACAAGGATGCACCACCACACTTGGCTGTTTATTGAAAGAGAACAAGAAAGAAAAAAGAAAAGGAAATTGAAAAAGATACACCTCTACTTGCAAGGATTAATTTTCTAGGATTTTCTTTAACATAACTAAAAAAGAAAAGAAAAAGCATAAGAGGAAGACAAATGAAAAAGAGTGAGTACTGATCATTGTTGCAGCTGGATTGTGGATACATGTGGGGATTCAATAAACAACCTTTTTCTATTGTTCTGTATGTTTAAATTTTTTTATTGAATAAAAGTACTCCAAGGAGTTTGGGAGACTTTCAGGGAGATGGGAGCAAATGGTCAATCATGAAGTATAAGAAACTAAAAGAACAACTGTGATGGCCCATGGGAGGGAGGTTACAGAGCAGGTACGGCTAGAATGATTCGGTTAACTAAATGAAGATGAGCAGAAAGAACATTCCAGAAGGAGCAAGCCTGTGTGCACAAGCACAGAGGCTCCAAATGGCATGCCTGAGAGTTTTAACTAAGGAAACCAGTTAATTCTGAGTTGTTTAGAACTTTCCTGGTTTTAGCCCTGAAACGTCAGCATCTCTAGAAACCCATCAGTACTGAGCAAACCTGGATAGTTGGTCTCCCAGTCTTCCCATTGTCACATGGAGCATTGCACTGGCCAGGTGAGGGGAAGCAGAGCTGAGCCAGAGCAGATGTGAGCCGTGGGACTGAGAATTATAAATAAGAAACTAAGAGGGATCCCCAGGTAACACCCATCCCTGTTTTCTGCCCCTTAAATACCATACTTCAGCTGCAATCCCTTCATTCCAGGACATTTGAAGAGAACAAGCTAGATTCTCATGTTTCCTTCTCTGTTCCACCAGATAGCACAGCTGGACTTTCAACATTCTCTATTCTGACCCCAAATTTATTCATATGTGTGTGTGTGTGCGCGCGCGCGTGTGTGTAGTGTATAGAATATATATAATATGTATATATAATCAGATACATTCATTAAACACTTGCTAGAAGAACTTATGATATAATAATGGCCATAAAGGAGGAAATGAAAGTTCAGAGAAGTAATTTGTCCAAGGCCAAATATAAGGATAACAGTATATCCCACATATCTCCCTGCTAGGGTTGTGGAGGAAATAAGTGAATTATGACTGGTATAAAGTGCTGAGAATAGTGTCTGAGGGGAGGAAGTGATTGATAAGGGTTTGGCTCTGATAGCTAGCAGTACACCAATGTGCCACACTGTGAGGGTGGGGGGAAAGCACAGAAATCTGAAAGGTGGAAAACATAAATAACTTGATAACTTGCATTGCAAAATAATTCACCTTAGGGTTGGTGGCTTTGCACACCCAAGACCATTGATTTAATAAACAGGTTTGAGCATAAAGTTAGAGGCATCTACAACAGAGCAAGTAACATCCTCAAAAGCCTTCAAAGTCAAGTCCTCTCCCAGGCACTCAAGTCCAGGGGCGCCTTCCCCTCCCCAGTTCCCTGAGCAGATGCCCTCATCTTTTATAAAGGAGTCTGTACGGCTGGATCCCCTCCCAGCCCAGTGGACAGTCTCCCCCTTGAAGGTCTCTGCTTCCCTAGCCACTGATTGGATTATACAGCAGTCTCTGCGGAGCCTTTCCAACCTGAGAATCTCCTGTTCATCACATGAGTAAGGAAATTTAAGGCGCCCACGATGGGAGAATCCCACCTGCCTGGACTCCATCTCCCCTGGATCACTTCTGAAGGAACCTTCTCTACAGACCACAGAGGTGCATCCAAAGTACAATCACCAGTGGGAAGGACTCTTGCCCACCCCACCACCCTAACAGCTCCCCACATCCTGGGTTAGTGTAGAAAAGGGCCGATCTAAATCAGCGTATCCATTGGCATCTTGAAAACTGTCAACCCAGCAGCTGACATCCAGCTTCCCCAAGCATAGTCTGCCCAAGGCTTATAAAGTGGGGGACCTTCCTCTCCCATAGTAGTTATTGGCATCCTTCTGTCACAGTAGAAAAGCAATAGGAACATAATTGAGAGAAGTAAGGGTGAACATGCTGCTTTGCCCCAGCTCAGAGATGTCTGAACCTGGGGTAGGGGGTGCTTTTATGTGTGGGCATTTTTGTAACATAAGGGGTCCACCATAGGCACTGGAAAGTACCCAGAAGTATTCTTGCCATTTTGCATGTGTTCTCTCCAACCTCCAAAACAAATGGGACTTCCCAGATCTGTCAAATCCTGCACTGAGGCACAGTTGACCCAGTCTCTGAGTCAGTCTTAAAGTATAATCAACCATCACCACTGTGCACCTCCCCCAGCCCAGATCTTCTGATGGCGGAGCCTGGGGTCGGGTCGGGAGGAGCCGCCCTTCCCAGGCACCATCAACCAAAGGCACGCCTCCACCGGACTGCAGAGAAGCCTCATGAATTTTTCACAAGATTCATCTAATAGTGGCTGAGCAGAGCCGAGAAAGCCACATCCCCAGTGCCTGTGCCAGCAGCTTGCAAAGAGTTAACCCATTAGGCCACATCCTGGTGAGCTCATCCCCGCTGGAGCCTGCTCGGTTGCTGGGATTCACAGCACACCGACTTCTGGATGTGGCCAGGGTGGCTTTCTCTGGCTGGGATGAAGGACTGGAGCAGGAACTTATCGCCACCTTCCTCCCTGAGCGAGCACCCAGTGGGTCCCGGGTCCCCCATCCTCCCTTGGGACATCGAGGACAGTAAGTTATTAAGAGAAGGTTCCCTTCTGCCCTTTTTTTCTTCCACCTCCCTGGAGGAAGGAGCTGGGGTTAATGTGGCTTTAGAGTGTTGAGTGTTTGAACTGGAGTTGGAGGCAAATGTGAGTGACAGCAGCCAGCAGGTTGGAGGGGACTGCCCATGCAGTGCTGGTACACCATGGTAGAGGGAAGTGTCTCTTGCCGTGCGCCCGGGAGAAAATAATGTTTGTGCCAAGGGTTTCTCTAGCCCTGCATGTGTAACACGGGGTTTCCATCCTGGGAAGCCATTGGAGGGAAGGGGTGAGCAGGACTCAACCACCCAAACCTATTGGAACAGGCACAAAAAGTCCAGACAGTGAAGTTCAAGGTCACTCACAGACCCCAGTATGTGTGGGCCAGACCTCAGACCCAGCCTGCCCTCCTGGGCATCCCTTATTGGACCTCGGAGGCTGCCAAGCGGTCCCTCCTTCCTGCAGGTGTGGCCCGTGCCCAGGGCAGGTGCCAAGAAAACAAGGTGGAGCACACTGGTCCGTCTGGGCAGTCTTCATCTCGGGAAAAGGGGAAACAAGGCAGGCGTTTGGAAACACGGACAAAGACACGGCTGGGTCTGGCTGGCATGTGCTTAGGGACCCGCCTTGGGTGGTTACACGCATTATCTCCCGAGCTGTTTTTCCCCCAGATCCTGCACACTGACTGCGTGGCCTGAACAGGAAAGTGAGGGGCACCCTCCAGATTGACTGTGACCTTAGGGAAAGCTTCCTTCTTAGAAGTCCTGTGAGCTGGAAACAGATGGGTGGCTGTGGTGGCCGTGGTGACAGCAAAAACAGCATATTCTGAAAGTCCCTGTGGCCTCTACTTTATCAGCACGGGCACAGGGACCCACTTACCTTATCAGAGGAGTGGACTGTCACCAACTGGATGTCCTGGTAAGGAGAGGGGCAGCAGAGCAAGAGAAGGAAAAATCCTGCGGATGGGCCTAGACAAGCTGTCGCTGGGTGTGGCAGGAAGGGGGAGTCTGGAAGGGAGAGGGAAAGACCTTTCGATTCTCACCCACGCTGGATGCTCCTTGGGAATAATCAATTAAGCCGTCACAGCACTTGCACGCGGCAGCCCGCCTCGCCTCTCTTCCTATCCCCATTCACTGGGCCAGACTCCTCGCTGTTAGGTCATGTGTGCCCTTTCCTCTGTGTTAGGTCCTTGCAATTCCCAGAATAGCCCAGCTCCTATCAGAACTGGCTAGGTGGAGGGGTCTGGCAAGGAGAGAGGGGAAGAATTAGATAACTCCAGGCCCAGGAGCAGCGGTACAGTGAGGCCCCTTGTAATAAGGTTACAGATGGATTACAGAATGTGCAATTCAATTTGAACTTCTAATAATGCATTTTTTTTTGTATCTGTATGTGCCATGCCATGTTAGAACATTCTTATAGTAAAAACAAGTGGCTGTGGTTGCTTTGAAGCTCAAACTCAGCTAGACACCTTGTAATTGTATATGCTAAACCTGGCAACCCTGTTAGTATTGACCATCGCACATTTAAATGAGGGTAGCTCCAGGGAAGGACTAGAAAATGAGTTCTAAGACAAAGACGAACAGCTATAGAGGTGGTGGAATGCTAGGAAGGAAAATAGGGGGGAAGAAAAGAGAAGAAGAAGGGGGTGTGGGGGAGACAGGGTTCTGTCTCTGAGAGCACATGGTGCAGGATTTGAGGACAGGCGGTTGTGAACTTTGGTTTATTCGTCTGCAAAATGGAAATGGTACTAATAGTACCAGCCTCAAGGTGCTGTGAGGATTTAAACGGATGCTCCAGGTGAGGAAAGCAGCACGTACCAGGTACTTTATATTCAGCTGGTGGAATAATGGTGGTAAATTTGCACCTGCTCTGCCACAAGCCTCATTCTGCCCTACTGGTCCAGCTCAGAGCTCCCGCCACAGAACCCCCCACATCCTTAGCAGCTCTGCCCTACAGTCCCAACCTGTTCAACCCCTTGCCAGATCAGCCACCATCATGGTGTTATTCACTGCCTGCATCCCAGTTCCAATATCCTCCCACTCTTCTCAAAAACCAACCCCCAAGAGGAGTAAGAATAGATCTCAACCTGGGTTCTGAAGCCACATAGGCTCCAAAATCTCACATTCTCTTCTCGCCTCTCTACTCACCAATGCGTAACTTTGGGAAAAATCACTTAAACCTCTCTGATCCTTAGTTTCCCCATCTGCAAAATGGGGTAGCAATCCTACTTCCTTCAGCCACGTGTTGGGGGGATTTGACCAGAGGACACAGACCAGGGGCTTAGCATGGCTCCCAGCACACCATGAAGGTTGGGTGGCTAGTAACTAGTTATCGTTATTGTATGACATTGCTTGTACTGTGGAGAAGCAGCAGTTCGGGGTCCTAGCAGACTGTCAGACTTCGGCCAGCAGAAGACCAACCTGTCTTCATGATGTGAACAGAGACCCAGGGGCAGAGGAAGGGCAGGGGAGGAGGAGTTGATCATATTGTTGATCTGAATGGTTTATAACAATTGAGTGAGAAGGGACAGGCCTGAGCCAGGGCTGGGTTCTCTGGCCCCAACCAGACACCGGAAAAGCAAACAAATCCAAAGGAAACTGCTTTGCAAACCACCTGCAAAGCATCTCCTCACTCCACCCACCATAACTCCTCTATTTAGCCATTTAACCAATGTTTGCCAGGCACAGTGGCACCACAGGTCTGTAATCCCAGCTACTCAGGAGACTGAGGCAAGAGGTTGGCAAGTTCAAAGCCAACCTGGGCAACTTAGCAAGACCCTGTCTTGAAATAAAATCAAAAAGAAAAAAAATCCAAAGGGATATTGCTCAGTGGTAGAGTGTCCCTGGGTTCAGTCCTGAGACTACCAAAAATTACTGAGTCTCAAGCCTCAGCAAATGCTGAGCAGTTGCTGGAGAACACAGGAAATTGAGGGAGACCCAGCTCCAGCCCCTGAAGGACTCTGGAGAGGAAGAAAGAGCTCCCAGAACCATAGGTACACACACATATTGGGTCGTCTTTATTCACTTTAACCATGGTCCCATTAAGTGGTTCATTTCAGACACTGAGGAATCTACTGAAGGGAATAGAATTCCTTCTTATCTTGAACACTCATTATAACTCACCAGTCTGCAGATCCTCAGCACCAAACCATAGGTTGGGACATGAGTGTATGAATAGATTCTCTCCTCTCACTGAGGCATCTCTTCATCTCCCTGAGTAACTCCCACTTTGGGTCAGTAGAAGACACCTCCATCCACCCCAGAAAATCCTTCATATGTCCTCTAGCTGGTTCCTCCCCATCCCTCCCTCCACTGCGGTGAGGCTTGTCACCTTCATGAGCTCTGGAATGTTCTGTAAATGGAAACGTCCAATACGTGTCTAGGTCATTTGTGGGTATACGTTCTCATTTCTCAGGAGCAAGTTTATTTAGGAGTAGAATTGCGAGGTCCATGGACAGATGTGTGTTTAGCTTTATAAGAAACTAGCAATTTTACACACCCCCACCTCAGTGGCGAAGGAGAGCTCTGGTTGGCCCACGTTCTCACCA